CCTAGAGGTCATATCTGTAAAGCTGTGGAAGCTTATTATATATATATATTTTTTATAGCGGGCTTTGGGACTGTAGGACCTTCATAGGATATGGTTTTGGGTCAGGATCTCTAGGAATGTAAGGCTTCGTGTGATTTCGAGTCTGCTTTGGGTTCGAAGTTTTAGGAGTTTAGGGATACGAATTTAGGTCTCAGGTTTTGTGGATTCAGGGCTTAGGGAGTTTAGGGTGCCGGGATGTGCAAGGCTTAAACCTCCACAAGCGTCGCTACACGCAGAGCTTAGCAAGAAGGCATTTCCAGCTGCCACATGTGCTGGTCACAAAGGTTGTGTGTGGGGTTTTGGGCGGTTAACGCAAAGAAAGGGAGCCATAAACCCACAATTCGGGGTCCTGAGCAAGATCGGTGTTGAACAGACGAGGTTTCTCGGTTAATCAACAGACAATATTGGCTTCTTTCGACTTACTTAGGCGCGATTCGCGCTTCGATTTTTCGGAATGTGCAGGTGCTCTACATCCGGTCGTTGTACGAGGAGGACGTGCCCGTCGTTTTGCCCCAACTTTCAGTAACATCGTGGCCCGTGCCCTGAAGCAGAAGCCCAATCCCAAAGCCAACCGGTACAACCCTAAGCTTAGGGCTTCCTCCATCCATCCATGAATGCATCCATCCGTACATGCATGCATGCATGCATGTGGTCATTCGTGCAGCAACTCACTTTTGAAACTTGCTGATAAGCCCATGGCCGATTCGCAAAATGTCACGAGGTATGTTCCTGAAGTCAGCAAACCTCTAACCAAGTAGCCGAGTAGGCAGCTTTTTACCTTTCGTGTATTTGTAATTTATAACCCTACCATGCTTCAACAGGCTCACCTTTTGACTTTTTGGGCCAGGCACTTAGCAGCTAATGAAATCAAACTCTCCCGAAACTATACAAACCGTGCGGTGGCAATGGGCTCTCTTGGAAGAATAGTCACACACAAGGTGACAACACTCAGACTGCCCAGCCTTGCTTCAGACAGGCCAACGGCATTCCTTGCAAGTGGGGTACCTTAGATACCACCTAAACCCTAAACCCTAAACCCTAACCCCCCAGCGCAAGCCCCTTTTTACTGAATCTCCCAAACTCCCAAATGAGGGCTAAGGAGTTGCCTTGATTGGTCGCATGTCCATGTCCAAAGTCAGCGGCTTTTGGGGGTGTCCGAAAATAGGGGACCCTAAGATAGTACCCGAAATAATAGGATCCTTATTACAAGGGCCCCAAAATAAGGTACCCTAATTTTCGGAAGGTCCCTTTTCTCTAGCGTAAAGAGAACCCACGTGAACGGCCGCATGATAAGCAGACGAACAATCTTAACCCTAAGCCCTGAACCCTAAACCCCTAAACCCCTAAACCCTCAATCCTAAACCCTAAACCCTAATCCCTGAACCCTGAACTCCAAACCCTAAGCCCTGAACCCTAAACCGTATCACTCCGCCTTGGCCCGAAGTTCAACGGCTGTGGGGCGATTAGAGTTCGTGCTCTTGAAGTGCCGGGCCGCGAAACGTGAGTCCGGTTTAGGATTTAGGGTTATAGGATTATAGGATTTAGGGTTATAATCCTAAACCCTGAAACCCTAAACCCAGAAACCCCAAACCCTAAACCCTAAACCTCCAAACCCCCCCAACCCCTAAACCCCGTATTATAGGAGCCTGAGTAATTACCAATACTATGTTGGGGGCTCCTTATTAACACTTTATGATAAAGGAGCCCAAAACCCTATTCTAATCGTTAAGGCCCCTACATTAATCCCGACTGCTCTTCAGGAGCAGGAGCCGGAAGATTCCTTCGCCCCTCTGGCGGTGGGCTCCATGTGCCTTCCTGGCGGCGAGGACGCTGGATCTTTCAGTCAGGGTTTCGGGCTTTAAGGGTTATAGTCAGGTCTAGAGTTTAAGGTTTAGGGTTTATTATAGGGTTTAGGGTTTCGGGCTCAGCGTTTAGGAGTTTAGGGTTTAGGAGTTTAGAGTTTCGGGTTCTCGCTGATGCATGGTTTGAGGGTTTCAGAAACTGTGGGCTGTTGAATGTTTCAAGCTTTGGGTTTAGGGTTTAGAGATGGCAGAAAGCTCCGCAAGCTTGGAGCATTTGGGCTTCAGAGAGCAAGGCAATAAAACGTTCATGAACATGTTTTCTCGGCGAGGGTTCACTTGCCAATTATGATTTTGGAGTCATGTGCAAGTTGGCATTCCTGTCAGGGGCATAGACAAGCGTGTTTTGTAATACCAATCACTACATTCCAATAATTGAGCCTAATACACCCCTGAGGCATTCTTCTGATTAAATCGGTGTCAGCCCTGCGTAAAGGTACCTACCTGTTACGTCTTGGCCGGCATACGCTTATCGTCTCATGTCCTTGCCGGATGCCTGAACAAGTTGATTCGGGACTCGACAAGGACCCCTTTCTGGACACCGCTTGTCCTGGAAGGAAGGGAAGGAGGTGCATCGTCCTGGTTATAGGAGCATGCAAGACCTAGAGACCCGGATACCCCTTCGTTGCAGCATATATAAGCAGGAAGCTGGTTCAGGATCTTTGGATCCCGAATCACAACTGCCGATATTGGCTGAGGAAGACGTGCTGCGAGTGCCGAGCACGGAGCAGGTGAACGGAGAGGCCTCTCAGCAGCACCCACCTGTAAGTCTGCAAGGCGAAGGGGGCTCCTCTACAATTGGAAGTATCTTACTGCTGTAAACAAAGATGGAGGAATCCGAAATCTGCCGAGAGCACAAGATCAAATTTCGACCATAATCCCATCTGGCGTTAAGGCTTTGTTTATAAGTATTGAGCTTCCGGATGTTGCAGCATCAGGGTATTCAGGTCTACAGTGTAATTAGCTACGTTGTTGGGCTGAGCCTGGCGTGGCCGTAGAGGAGCATAGGGCAGTAGCTAATGCACATTCAGAGCCTCCCTGACTCATCATCACTGCGTAGGACTGCGCAGCTGTTGGTTGAACAGCCTCAGGGACTCCGGCAAATTTGGTACCGGTTCCGCAGCCTCCGGACCCCCTCTAGGAACCCTAAACTCTAAACCTCTATGATGAGTTCAAGGGTAGCCCTTCTGCGCAAGATAAACTCCCCAGCCACTCGGGGGCTTCATAAAGTTCGGCGTCCCTTATGCTTCGCGGGTCTTGCCATGAGGATCCTACCAAGTGCCACTATTTGGGGCTCCATGTGGGAGTTTCCGAAAATTAGGGTACCTTATTTTGGGGTTCTTATAATAAGGATCCTACTATTTAGGGTACTATATTAGGGTCCCCCATTTTCGGAAACCCTCACATCGGTAGGGTTTAGAGACTCCCACTTCCATTCCTCGAAAAGGATCGGGTCACCCGGGACGCTCTTGACATCCTCAAGGAGGAGCTGTTGGAAGGACCACCTGTGGCCGTCGGTGTCTGGTGGCTGTCCCTCGCCTCACATCGGGTTTCTTACAAGACGGGGTCGTGTCTACCCAAGGGCTCCTTTGTGGTTCCTTTTTGGATAGTCTACTATAATTCCTTACTAAAAAACCATAACAGGCCCAAAAAGGAACTACATTGAAGCCCCTGGGTAGAGCTCTATCCTACGTCATCCTACTAGATTTAGGAGGATCTGTACGTGCTGCGGCGGTGTTCCAAACACCAAGCAACAGGTATCTGCCTAATTGGAAGGTGGCTGTGTCAATCTTGGATGGCAGGAGAAGACATAAGATAGGCGTAAAGATGTTGAAAAGACGAGGTTCTGGGGGTATATGATAGATATTGATAGGAACACAATAAGGAGACTCTATTATTAGCTTTTCCGACTTCTATACTATCTTTTCCAAAGCACACACACACACACACCTCGTGAATCCAGCAGTCCAAGACGTAAGCCCGAACCCGAGCACCTGCAACAACGAGCCCAAGCTCCCCGCGCCCCAAAACCCGAAACCTCAAAACCTGAGCACCCCAACTCCTACGCACGGGAAAATTGTAGCCGGAAAACCCCTAAGCACGAACAGCCTATACCAAAGCATTGATATAAAGAACAACAGCCGATAACTGCAAACTCTAATTCCCCTGAGTTCCTAAAACTCCAAGACTAGCTTATCTCTGAAACCCTGCAGGTGGCGGTGCTTCAATGCCCACATAGACCAGCACTCGCGGGCGGCCGTGCTCGCCTTGACGTACCGACAGCGAAACGGGCGAAATCGTTTGGTGCTTGTTGACATGATCGCGCCGGGGTCTGAGTTTCCGGGATAGAGCGGCTTTTTTTTTTTTTTGGGGGGGGGCCTTCCAGGGTGCATAGGGATCCCTTCAAAAAGGTGCCTCCGGGTTGTTAGGGTGCAGGTGTTGCTACTTATACTTTCAGGTTGTAGGGTGTGGGGCCCACTAATTAGAGACGTTGCCACTTGACTCCCGAAAGAGTCCAAGGTTTCGAAGTGTGACGTAGAGGATATCATGGGCCCTCAGTACAGCCTGAACCCCAAATCCTACACTCCAAACTCGGCAAGTATCATGCACAAGGTCCACGGAGCGGATAAGGCTTTAAGGTTTTAGGGTTGGGTTTAGGGCTGTTGCGGTTCAGGGCTTAGTTGGCTTTGGAGGATCTGTGGACGTTTGCAGCTACGTGTCGTGGTATGTTACCGGCAGCAGCTGTAGGTAGGCATGCTGTCTGCATGCATACATGCGTATAATATGCTTCCAAGCGTTCCAAATGCAGCAGTTCATATCAGTTCAGACTCTGAATGACAGAGGCACCACAGACGCCTGAAGCATTACCAAAACGACTACAGACGCTGCTAGACTGACTACGATGCACAAATGAGATCCAACTGCTGAGTCAAGCTGAGCCTCCTCAAGAAAACACTGTCAACGTGCTGTTGGGGGCCTTACGCCGGCGAAGAGAGACACAGAGAGATAGAGATGGAGATAGAGAGAGAGAGAGAGAGTGCTGGACCGCAAGGGACGTGCCCTCAAGCTTTGCACAGAGGCAGAGAAGAGAGAGAGAGAGAGAGCGAGGTAGAGGTAATTAGATGTAGATGCATGGAGCGGGAAGCAGCGAGTGCAGTTCTTGAAAGCCTGGATCCCTAGCCAGGAGCGTCCCAGATTAGACTTCAAGGGAGCTGAGCTAACACGGCCAGCAAGGAGCCTCGAATGTACGGGCCGAAAAAATTACCAATACTTTTTTTGGGGGGGTTCCTTTTTATAAATATAGTATAATGGGCCCCAAAACCCTATTCTAACTATGAAGGCCCCTACATGATGCCTCTAGGGCATACTGAATTAAGGGACTCCCCAAACCCCAAACCCCAAACTCTAAACCCTAAACCCAGAAGTCTAAACCCTAAACCCGAAACCCTAAACCCTAAACCCTGAATTAAGGGACTCCCTAAATCCTAAACCCTAAACCCCTGCCCCAACCGCCGAGGTTGGAGCAGGCTGGGTGTTCTTCGGGTCTCTTGCTGGTTTGGTGTAGGGCTTATAGGGTGTAGGGTTTAGGGTTTATAGGGTTTAGGGTTTGTAGGGTTTGGGCTTTAGGGTTTAGGTTTAGGGTTTGGTGTTTAGAGCGTGCTGTAAACTTGCAATTCGCGCAGCTTCGCAGGCAGTACACATCCCGAAAAAAAACACAAAAAGTCTTAAAGCAAAGTCTCTGTGACAAGCAGCATCCTTGCTCGTTTTCGAAGTCTTAATTCCCTTAAGCATTGAAATGTAATCGGGTTAAGGATTTAGGGGTCGGGGAAGTTAGGGTTCAAGTTTTCGCATGAAGTTCATACGGCTCACGGCCACGAAAGATGTTACATGTCAGCACAAGGTTCCAGAGTGACGAATTTCGGGCCGCTACGCATGGTCTCTCCCATATCAGGATGTGGCGGATGTTGTATGCGGGGTTCTTGAAGTGGTGGATCTCTTGCAAGGTCTCTTTACTGTTAAATCACACTATCTGAGGGTTGTCCAGAAATTGTGCCACAGGTCCTTTATGCTAGTGAACCTCGACCACTTTCAGATTCGATTGACACAGAGACTGACCTCGGTAATGCAGCTTAGCAGTACCAAAGCCAAACCTTCATTGACCGCAGTTTTCGATTTCTTGAGGAGGTATCTTCACTGAGCGTTTGTTTGTCTTCTGGCTCAGCCGATCAGCAAGCGTAATGCCCTGAGGCGAATCAGGAGGAGGAGCACCTCCACAAGGATGTGCTGGGCCAAATTCTGAACGCAGCCGGGCCAGCAAGAGACTTGTCGAGGCAGGGGTTGTTTGGATGGTTCCAAGCTCTGATTGCATGCGTGGTGCGGCTTCGTACTTAGGAACCCCAGACAGAAAAAGGGAATCCAAAGAGCACCACAGCATGACCTCACAGCCGTTGCTAGTTATGCTTTTGCTCTGCATATTGGTCGCGTGAACTCCTGTTGCGATGAGTATGGTCTTGCTTTGCCATTACGAGCTCCTGCTACATCTGTGGGTTGTCGGGTGATGCCGATTGCTAGCAAAGCTTCAGGCATTGGGTCTGAGTTGCGAGGTGTGGAGTGTCTAAACCCTAAACCCTAAACCCTGACCCTAAACCCTTAACCCTGAACCCTAAACCCTAAACCCTCAACTAGAGTTAGAGATAAGGCTTCAAGATTTGGCTTATCGGGCTTCGAGCTGAAGCGATGTTCCTGAGTCAGAGTGAGGCACCGCACATTCTCAAAGTGGTCCACTTCCTGGAGCGCACCGTGCCGGACTTGACCATGTTGCACAGCTTGCCTACAGAAGCCCCATAACGTAGGAGCGAGTCGGAACATGATACGGTTGCTACACTTAACAACAGTACGATCAGTTTTGTCATTCTAGTACCCAAAGGGTGCTAGGTCCATGGGGAATACTTCCCCAAATCAGAACAGCAATTCCTAATAATATTATAGAAGCCCTACATTCTACCATATAGGTACTTAGGACCTTTTGGGATACCCTACGGCAGCAGTGTCATGGTGGGACCGAAGCTTCCTCTGGGGTTCCCCGACCATATGCTGGGAGCAGCCTTCGCCTGCTTTGAGGGGCGGGGTAGGGAACCTTTATCTATGGAAGCTTCCAAAAAAAAAGGGGGTTTAGGGTTTAGGGTTTAGGGTTTAGGGTTTAGGGTCGGGGTATGTATGGGAGTTTAGGAAAATAACGGGGGTATTTTATTTCTGGGGCCCATTTAGCAAGGCCCTTACTATTCAGGGTACTGTGTTCGGGTCCCCTATTTTCGGAAACCCCCACTACCAGAGTTGAAAGGTCAGTTTTTTTTTTTTTATCTTTGAGGCCAGGTACTCAGCCCTCAAGCGCTTTTCACTGGTATTGAAACTCTAAGCTAGACCAAAACGCCTACCTTTCTAAAGGATATAAGGACATGATGATCAGCCCCCCGGAAAAGTTAGGTTCCTCAGGGCTCAGGTAAACCTTGAACCCCCTAAACCCCAAACGCTTTGCCCTGAATCCTTAGACCACACTATAGTAGGCGTAGAAGCCCTTGAACCCGAAACCCTAGACCCTAAAGCCTTTAATCCTAGAAGCCCTAAACCCTGTATCCGAGAAGCCCTAAAACCGTTAATCCTAGACCCTAAATAATTAATCCTAGAAGCACTAAGAACCCCCTAAAGCCTTAATCCTAGAAGCCCTAAAGCCCTTTTGTGCAAGTAAGTAGGAAGCCCTAAACCTTTAATCTTAAAAGCCCTAAACCCCAAACCCTAGGCGCTCCGAGCCCTGCAGCTTGCCTTCGTGACGGAGGACGTGCGACAAGGCAGGGCTTTTAGCACAGAGGTTTAGGGCCTATAAGCCTACATCCTTCAACTTTTAACTTCTAAACCCAAAACCTCTAGGCTTTACCCTAAACCCTAAACCTTATAGGGTTTAGGGTTGAGAGGTTTCGAGGCTTTATTTTTTTGTAGCAGCCCTTTTGGAACCCTCAACCAAAAGATTAAAACAAGTCTTGAAGCAATCCTCAGAGTTTGGAATCGTGGCCGTTTTAGATGAACTTCACCCTAGACCCTAAACCCTAAACCGTGAAGATTGGCGTCTGGAGGCCCGTGCGACAGGCCCGCAGAACTTCAGGCTTACAAGCATCGCATTTCTGGAGCCAAACTGACTTGTATCGAACCGCAAACCCAAAGCCTTACCTGGACCCCAGAAGTATGTAGAAGAAGAGCCTTTTATAGGTTTCGGGCCAGTAGTTTACCTATTGCTTGGGGGGTTTAGGTAAACCCTAAACTCGACACCCTAAACCCTAAAACCTTAAGCC